GAATAAATCACATTAGCAGAGACGAAAATTTAGTACGGTGTGTTGTTTGCATTTATTTAGCGCAGGGTTCTGTTGTTTGAATGATTTTCCCGCTCGTGGACATTTGAATGCGGCTCAATGGAGCGCGCTGGGACTGCGCCAGCGCAGCAGTTGTATTTCTTCGATTGTTAACCCAGACGATGGCCCAGAATTCCATGGGCGAGAAATTTACTTTCCCACAGAAATCTTCAGCCGTCAAGCATGTGAGGTGCTGAGGTAGTTAGGGGATGATGCGGTTAGAGTCTACTTCAACTTTATTTGTGCCCCTAACAGCGAAAAGTTAGAGCGCAGAGAAAATTACTCTGGGTGAAGAACTAGGCGTTGGTGGCGGAGGTCTCCTTGTTGAGAAGGGGTAACTCCAACTCTTTTTCCGACAATGAGCGCTAGAGATAAGGAGGTTAGCCCATAATTGTGCTCGGGAACGTTGCTTAGCCGAGATCGTACAGTTTTTTGACCTGAGCTTCACGAGGGAAAGGGTAAACTGTCATGTTATAAACTATCCAACTCACATCCCACCTTGACTTTAAGGTCAGCTACTACCCTTCTTCGCACTGAAGTCCTCATCGTTTAATAAAAGCGAGGCCCCCTCCTACATCATTTTCTAGTCACTCTTCAAAGGAAGAAATAAAACCCGGTGTAAGCGGGAGACTCGTCTGGTGCTACTATATAACACACATAACCTAATTTTCCCGTTGACACTGTTAGGGAAGAAGTGAGGACCCACCTATCTAGGGTCGGCCTGACCCCACAACATTTATGGGCGTGGGCTAAGTTTGGGAATCGTGTCACGGTGAGATGACAATATACGGGTATGGGATTATCGCCGTAGTCAACTGTGATAGTGACTGTGATAGTGACTGTGATAGATGTGGTAGTAGTTAAACAGTGTACTGTTAGTTACAATGTGTTGCTCAATCAAACTTCGTTCCACGTCGGCGGCACTTCCTTATGGAGCAGTCTTTCATCTGGGAATCTCTGGAATGGCCCATTTTCTAGCGACACTGCTCGGGACCGGATGTACAGCATTGCGTCATTACCAATTCGTCGCATTAATAGCTTATAGTAATGACACTGCGCTGTCTGCGCGCGTTTAATGGGGTGATGTTCCGGTAAGGCTAAGAAGCAGTTCCGACCAGTAAGCAATTGATTCGCTAACCCATTGACGACAGCGCGCGTTTTGGATTTTTCGACCGCGTGGGACATGAGCGTTTTGGTGGGCGCAGGTAGCTTGACGCGCATGCGCGTCAAGATGTCCCACGAGGTGCACTTTTTGCAAGCCAAAGCTGAGAGGCAACATCAGAAGTGTATTATGTTGGTGAATGGAAAGAGTAGTCGACAGGGTGGTGCTCTGCTTGTCTGCTCCCTCTTAGCGATATAGAAACAGCTTTGATGCACATTTAAAGCAAAAACAGGAAATTGCGATCTCGCGAAAAAGGAGTTGTGACAAGACCTTGACGCGCATGCGCGTCACACGGGCCTTCGCGGTCTGCAAGGCTTGACGCGCATGCGCGTCAAGGTGTCGTCAGCGGGTTAACTAGCTTGGGGCCGGGAATACTAGGAATGACACTATTGTGTCATTGGAACCAAAGTCTCCAAAACCTTCGAATACACGTGCAATAGTTGGAGAGGATCGAAACCAGGTCACTTCGTAGCCGTCGCATGCGGCGGGTCAGCCCGCGAGACTTGACAGACATCGCAGTTGTGAGTGGAGTATACGATTTTCGTCGCCCCACTGACAATTGGTGATTCTGTAATGTCATCTCTAGAATTCAGTGGGGTGCATAAAGTGGGGTGAACTACTTCCGACGGACGCGCGCAACGGACATACTCCTACCGCTCTATTCCAAAACTTAGCGCTAGGGCGCCGAGAAGGAAGGGTAGCCAACATCGCGAGCCCTCAGATTTTAACGTCCCGCTCTACCACCCAACCAGTGGGCCTCACCCAGGGTACGTTTTTGTAGCGTCGTATATGAAGCGGGTGTTTGTAGACATTTGGGTGTGCGTCCAGATCCAAGCAATCTTTATTACGTAGTGCGCCCAACAGAGTATCAGAGCTATTCTATCAAGTTTGTGGGTCAGGTGCAACGTAATTTACGTGTGATTCGCCCCCGCTAGATGTGAGGTCGTGAGGGAATCATCGCCTGCGATGCGTAGGCGAAGATAATACCGCTGAGAAAGTATGACTTTGACAACCGGGGGGAGGGACAGGGGGGGGGGGACGGAACATCCAATTCTGGATGAACGCGGCAACTTGTGCGGCGAAAATCGTGGTGATCTAAACAACTGTGGCGCCCATCACTGGGCACAAATTTGAAGTAGGGCAGTTAAGTAGCATCAGCTGGCCCTCTTATGCAATCTACTCAAAACCTTGCTCCAACGACAGGGGCCAGAGTCGTTTAAATCACCACAAATTTCGCCGCGCAGTTTACCGCGTCCATCCAGAATTGGGTGAATATACCCATACCCACCTGCGTGTAGTGTGGCATGCCACGCACTTACAGGTTTCGGTGTAACAAATTCACGGGACTTTGAAATCCATCTTGTTTAGGCTAGCCGAACTCATCGCTTAATGCGCTCCGACCAATACCTGGGAACCAATTTCAAATTTGGCTCCCATTCACTGGAACCAGGCCAAGCCACGCCTACCTGCGCATCTAATCGCTGTCGTTTGCCGAGTGACGTCACATGATCGTGCGTGTATAAATACTCAGTCGACCGTCAGTCAACGGCGTGAAGCGGTAAGTGTTTGAGGACCTTAGAAAGCTTTGGAAGTAGGGTGCTACGTGCAACAGCATTATATGAGCGGGTGAATGGGTCTAGGAAAGGGAATTATCGGGGAATGTATGTGGTATCAGCTTTATGGGATTGGTGTTAGCTTATCTACGTAATTAAACTGTCGAGTAGTGATTGACGTCGAAGACTCTAAAAACATTTTGCGCCATATTTGTTGTAGTTGAGACACTTAGAATGGCAAATTGATGGTTATAATAACCAGTTATTGACGTCGAAAATTCTCGAAACACTATATTGATGGCAATTATGCCCAACTGACGAGACATAAATTGGATTTAGGAGTGGGTAATTATTTCGCACTGTATGTCAGAAAATTATTACCATCAAACTTTGAATAGCGGTTGGGTTCATGATAGAAGTGATTGTGAAATGTAGGACAATTAATGTGTTCGCCTCCTGGTTTTATATCAGGAAAACTGTCCTTGAAAACCTGATAGCGGCACATTTACTGCATATTTAATTAGTCATTCGAAAAAGAATTTTAGTTGAATGTGCTATGTTCTCAGCTGTAGTGATTCCGAGTCTTTGGGAAATTGCGTTCCTTGCAAAGGCTTTCCGTTTAAACCTTCACAAACCAAAAAAGAAAAAGTATTATTTCAGGCCGAGCTCTAGGGACGTGCTGAAATGGCACAGTCGGGAGGAAATACCATTGTGAGTTTACTTTTGCTCAAACAAATGTAATAAAAGTGAAAAACTGTTGAACCGTCTTTTGGGTAGTCATCAGCATGCAACTGTTTTCCCGGTGTCCCATTTACCGTTCGAGTTCTTCTGTTCTACTTTGAAACTGGATAACATCGCTGAACTAGACGCTATTAGAGGTTGATTAATTAGTTGGTTTTAGGCCGAAATATACAAAGGCGTGATACAAGACGTTATAAGTCAGGTCAAGGAAGCGTTTTTGGACGAAAATGTTGACATTGATGTGCTCACTCAACTAAAAAAGGTGATTGTTGAACGTTCTTTGGTGTTCTTCTACGTTCTACTATCTTCCTTTGTATCTCACCTCAATAGCGGTCGGTTCACGATTCTGATAGTGATCATTTTAATTTGCCTATTTGAATTGTGACCGTGTTTTCCACTAAAAAGTGTTCCAAAACTCAGGAAGGGTAAGCAGTAGGTGAAGCGATTCCACTTGATGACAGATAAAGGTTGCTTCCTAGAGTGGTTTATTGATCATCAGAGCGTTCAGAATGGGCTCATATTGCATTTCTTCAGCGGAATAAATTCCTAATTGAGTTTTTTAGGAACAGCAAGTCTAGCTATCTTCAGATAATCATTCAGAAATTATTGGACAGAAGATACAAAATTTTCAAAGTTTCCTCTGGAGGTTCTGTAGTTTGTTCACCTCAAATTTATCCTTTGAAATTTTGACGCATGATCCTTCGGTTTACGTTCGCTTTTGGATATACCGGGAATCAATTCTGAAGGTAAATTCTGACCACCTGAAGAGCATAGGCATTTCCCATTTGAAAACGTTTATTGGATCAAAATAACCACAACTGGTCAGTGGTTTATTGGGGTTTTTTTGTTCACTTCTTGTCTATGTTTTATTTTACTTCACCTTCCGTAGCACCTTGTAATAAGAATTTCTTTCTGTGATTTGGAATTCTAATGTGCGAGTGTTCTCTAGTGACCAGAAACACGAATTTTGTCCTTTCTGAAACAAAATGTAAGTACTATATTGCACGTCGCTCATGTTTCAGGAATGGGAAGACAAAGTGGTAGCCAGTGGATGTGTGGATATGGAGCCGCGACACACTCACACTACTCACGCTCCTCATCAAGTAGCTCCTCCACCAATGCGTGGCCATGTCATGCCACCTCGCATGGGTACAGTAACACAAGTCCGTCTTCAGACTGCACCCCAGGTTTGTCCGATTCAATCAGTGATTAGTGAATGTTCGAAGCCAGGTTCATTGAAGATGGTGCAGCAATCACATTCTGGCATGATCAATCACATTGAACAAGGCAGACCGATGCAGATGCAATACGTGCCGCAGCAGGGCATGCAGCAAATACAAGTTCAGGTTAGAATACTCGTTCTCTTGTGGCGTACTTACTGCCTGCTTGTGTTGTCTTCGGTCTGCTCGAACAGTATTTTTCGTTATGGTAGAATTGTTGCAAAGTATGACAATTTTTTTTATCAAATCTATTGGTTATTCGGCTGCATTCATACTTTTCGATGAAACACTCTCGGATATGTCGGGGCATACCCGAGAGCATACTCCCGCAAGAGGTCCGTCAGCCCTCATTAGTCTGCGTTGAATCAGCTCGATAATCGATAGTTTGATTCGACTGCCATGGGGTTTCACCGGAATTCCATGTGACTTGTAAAGTCGTCTAGCCTATTCTAAGAGATTTTTGGAATAAGGCTTCCGATACGGATGTAAAATCTCAATATGTCAGTATTTAATTTGTTTTATTTGAAGACGGAACTGAGGCTGGAATGTCTATTTGCTATTTGTTGTGTTATGCTGAAATAAAAATCACTTTCAGCAAGTTCAACAAGGAAACATACCGGCCGGTGTGTCTTTTGCCCCTCAAACTGGTATCCGAATGGTCCAGGCTATCCAACCTCAACCTGGACAGCAGTTTGTAATTGCACAAAGTGGACAGCAAATTCAGCATCCTGTAATGTATCTACAGCAGGCTAACGGTTTGTTCACTTTTGTGGCGAAGTCGATAATTGATTGAATTTTGATGTTATAATCTAACGTAACTCAACAGTTGCTCAAGAAAAAAGATTTCTCTTAAGGGCAGCAAATTCCCGTAACGGTCGGCCCAAATGGAGTGCTTCAACATCGGCTGCAACAGGCTCATGGGGGTCACCAGTTGCATCAGTTAGATGGCAATGGGTGCTTTGTAGAAGATGATATGGTAAGGTTACTTTATGGGCCTAGTAGCTAACGAACAAACTTGATGTATATGTCGCTGTTCAAAATTCCAAGGATTCTCCGTGCTCATCAAATACGATTACTCAGAAATCTCACAAGCGAGTGTCAAATAAAAAGAAAAATGTAACGGGTGAGTATACGTAATTATTTTTGATTTATGATTTTTCTTTGAATGATTGGATTGATTTCCGATTGATTTTTCAAATTTTGATTTTTAATGGCTTTTTTGTTAGGCGAACACTTACTTTTTCTAGATCAGGAAGCGTTGCGAATAGCACAAGAAATATTGACAGCTCTGCAGCTGGATGGCGGGGGAGGCGGTGGTATGTCGGATTCCTCCAGCGAAGAAGAGGAGGTAAGCGTTGATTGTTATAATTTTTTTTCCAGAAGATATTTAGTCGTCAAGTTCTAGGCTGATGATGATGATGATCCTATAAGACGTATTGCTGACAGAATCGGTGACGGCCAAATCGAAGATGGTGAACAAGCGGTCAGTGTATAATAAATAAAATGACCCTTTGATATTATGTGCAACGCTAAGGGGAGCTCTACTTCATTTCCGCGTAATGCTATTCTTTGTGTTAAATGCCGTTCCACTCGAATTCTACAAGTTATGAACGCTTCCCTACGTTTTTCTGAAGATTAGCTCTTCAGTAGTGTTTGCACTAGTTGAAAATGTATGATTTGGCGTAAATCCTTGCCGCACTAGCCCTAACAAGTAGTGTAAATTGCCGAGGCAGATTCGCAAGTTTATTCATGGCCTTAAAAGCACAGTTCTCGATGTAAATGGTTTCTGAGTTTCCTCTAGAGGATGAATTTGACGGCCCCACCTATACCATATCTGACTTTATTGGGTCGGAAAACGGCCTAGTTAGGGAGTTATGAAGGCTCAAAGATTGGCCCGTGTGTATCCTCAGACGAGTTGTACTGGCATTGTAGAGGTTACACCGATCACAAGGGAACCCATGTAGGAAGTTCAAACAACTTGTCATGAACCATAGCGACAGTGAAAGATAGTGCTGTACAGCTCTGGCTAGATGTAGTCAGCTCTTCGCGCAACCGCAACAGCTGAAATCTCGTCCGAATACCCCTCCCATGTTATTTCCGTCATGGCAATCTCGTCCAATCTCTATTTCCCCTACTTTTGAGGGGCCATATTTTTTTCGAAATCAGCGTATTCTCTCGCTTTCTTCACTACCAATGAAATACTCCCAATCTATACTTCCGCTTTTCGAATGAAAATGGGTACTTAAAAATTATCGTGAACTGTGCCTTTCACGAGTGGTCTAAAGTTTATTATTGCAGTATACAGTCTTCCTTGTGATACCAAATAAGTCCCATTAATAGTGTTGCTCATCTTATTGCAATGAGCTTCCATTCACAAGCTGAGCAAGGTACAACAGTCTTTTCCGTTATAGATCGTTGAAGAAGATCCGTTGAATTCGGGCGATGATCAAAGCGATGATGAAGATTTGGAAACCTTGTTTGATGCCGACAATGTCATCATGTGTCAATTTGAAAAAGTATGCTTATCTTCCATTGAGTCGAATTTTGCTTCTTGATAGACTTGTGTGCTTGCTAATAGTATTTTCATGTTAATCATATTCTTTCAGGTCCATCGCGCGCGCAGTAAATGGAAGTTCCAGTTGAAAGACGGTATAATGCATATTGACAACAAGGACTATTGCTTCCAGAAATGTAGTGGAGAAGCTGAGTGGTGATTGACCTTCAAAATGAACGATGTCAGAGAGTCCTGATTGGCCATCCCATTTGGTTAAGTTTTGATTAAGGCACGTTCGTCGTGAACGAGGGGCACTTTTAGTACTGAGTTGAGACAAACTAGTGTTAATAAACTGGCAGAATGCTTTTTAAACGCCAAGTCATAGGTCTGCGTCAGGAGATGTTGGGTAGTGAAGTCTAGCTTGCGTTCAGTTTCAGCGTTTCTGCATCAATTTGTATTATTGAATGCCTCATCGAAATGCTTCCATTCCGTCTGCTCAACGTAATGAGTGCGTATTCTCGTCATCAATTGTTGCCTTTTATAGTTCGTATGTTGGCTAGATCTTCGTTCCCTGCTTGGTACATTATTCAGCTTCTTCGTTGACACGATAAGTGGTGTATACTTTTTTTTNTTTTTTTTCGTGTGAGCACAATCTTATTTTTCTGTGACTCGTCGGGGTCTTTAGCCTATCAGCATCATTATTTTATGAGGACCTGTTTACCTCTTAGGGCCTAGAACGAGGGAGTTTTTGTGTGCGTGACATACAGTACTAAATTGCTTACCGTAGAGTCTGTAATTTAGTTTGATGCTTTTGCATATGATTAACCGTTGATATTTGATTCGTCTCCCGAAATCCATTTGTTTCATTTTGATAACGTTCTTACTAGGAGCGCCACCTAAGCGTCACGTCTAATGTCAGCCATTTCGGTTTCCTTTTTTGTGATATTCGGTAACGAGTTTGAAGGGAAGATTGGAGTTAATTCTATAGTATTTGTTCTTTGTAGAAACAATGAAGATTATATAAGAAGTTTTTTGAAGAAAATGTTGTACTGGGCAAGTATTAATACCTGACTTCAAATCATTAAAGAGAAGGACGTATGATTTTCAAACGACTTTTTCTCTTTTTTCTCTTTTTTCATGCTTCTCATGGAAAATTCAAATTATAATTCTGCATGGATCGATCTGCACGCGGTGCTTGAATTTCTCGGAGTCAAGTTGAACGTTCAGCGTCTTCATGACGGACTGTTCAGGGTTACACTGCAGCTCAGGTATGGAAAGACTATGAGTGGGATGTTTTCAAATATGAACAATTGTGATCGGAATATGACGATATGGATAACTTTCTACCACGCTTTTTGACCAATAGCCTTACAAATTCTGATCCGAAATTGGGTGCGATAGGAAGCGGAGGAAGGCTTTTTGTTCTACGCCATCATCTACGCTCTCTCTATACTGATGAATTTCTATCCGGATCAGCTTTTATGTTCGACGACCTTTGAACCATACAAACCTCGTGGACTCATGGCAAACTATTCATCTTCATGCCTTATGATCACTTCTTCAGACCATTCTGAGCTGATTCAGAATAGTTTGCCCTTCCGTTGTCGANAGTCTTTAGCGTAAGAACTTTGGGGTGGCTTGCTTCAACGCTATTTCCACCTTTAGCTTTCTTGGGCATCCAGTTTTCTTTTTTGGAATATCTATGGATGCCGTGCAGACATAAGATACAAAAATATTGTGATGCATAAGGCCCAGGGTGGTGGATGTGAGGGGTGACAGAACTTCTCCCCGAATTCCCACCGCCAGCGGCGGTGGTTCCGCAGCGACTGCCGTATCCATTCGTTGGGCATTCAAATCTTTCCCTTCATAGCATAGCTCACCATCAAGGGTGGCGAGCGTGACACGCCTTCGGGAGATGATACCAGACATGGATCTGAGTAACACCTAAGAAATGAGATTTCAATGGAAGCCAACTGCAAGTTTTATTGTCGACCGATTTCAAAAATATCATGGAGCAGTTATAGCTATATACATAACGCGCTTGCGTCTGTCTTTTTGTTTGTTTGTTTGTTTGTTTGTTTGTTTGTTTGTATGGAAATCTGATATTGCCTGAAGAAGCACGTGCAGAAATCGGGTCAAGTTTGAGATGGGTTGGGCATAGAGCGAGGTCGAGCACACGTGAGTTCAGCGGAGCTCCGCCCATAATGGGCGGAACATGTACACGAGTGGGCGGAGGCGAACTTATTAGCTAGGTTACATAACAACCCAGACGCCGGGTAAAAATGAGCAAAGGTGAGGGATGGCCAATAAGTAAGTAAAGGAGACTCACCCTCAGTTGGCGGGGCGTTCTCGCAGTGGGCGGTACTTACCACAATAACTTATGAGTCGATTCAACGAAATCGTGGAAGCCAGAAAAAAACCGAACAAGAGTTCAAGAAGAGATGCGTAAACTAACGGCGTGCGTAAACTAAACTAACGTAACGGTGGGCATGCGTAAACTTAGTGAGCGCGTTTAAATGGAAGTTTCAAAGTACGTATAGCTCTGTTCGAAAACGATCTACAGTGCGGTAAAAAGGTAATAGAAGAAATGTGGTCAAATCTCCGAAGTGGGCGGAGACTGCCCTGGAGTGGGCGGGGCTATTTCCGCGCACCCATAACTGCTCGAAAGCGTTCTGGAATCAGAAAAAGTTCATAAAGACTGTTGAAGAAAAGTGGACTAACAAGGGAAGGATCATAGTCGAAGCGAAAATTCGAGATGAGACCTACACTGCTAGACGTGTTTTTTGATGCTGATTTCAAATCTGCATTCAAAATCTGCCAAACGATCCTCTGAACGAAGTTGTGGAGGTGGTCTCCGAAGAGCGTTCAAGAGAGCGCTCAACAGGAGAAAGCACAGAAGAC